TGTGTGTGTGTGTGTGTGTGTGTGTGTGTGTGTGTGTGTGTGTGTGTGTGTGTGTGTGTGTGTGTGTGTTTAGTGAAAGTTTACAACTCTGCACCCATCAATACTTATATTCTAAATAAAAGCCTGGTGCATGTAAACACTTGTCATGATCGGATTAAATAAGTTTGTGCCCACAAAAACGATACGTTTGGATTACCGGTGTTTAATCCAAATACATTTAAATCTGATCAAAGAATTTTGAGCATATAAACATAGCTTTTAAGTTAGGGTCGCCATATGATGGGTCAGAAAAAGAAAAGTTTGGGATTCTTTAAACTAGACAAGATTTATTGTCCCTGTATAAAAATTTGGCCTGTACGTCATTTAAATGATAAACGCATCCATGTGATCAAAATAATAAAATGGATCAATTCTCAAACTGCAAAAAATAAAATAAAATAAAAATTGTAAAATCCAAAAGTTATGTCACACACACACACACACACACACACACACACACACACACACACACACACACACACACTTATTTGAATACTACTGTGTCTCCTCTTCACCACTGTCATTTGTTGTCCCCCCCTCCTATCTGTTCTTCTATCTCTCTGTTTCAAAGTGACAAATTGATGTCCAAGTAGATCTCCATATCCCCCGCTGTAGACATTCCCACATGTCCCTGACAACACCCCCACACTCTCAGGCACAAGGACACCCACACACTCTTGGCACTGCAAAGTACTTTGAAGTGGCACGGCAGTGTGGGGAGCACGCATGAATATGTTGAGTCTATTGTAAAGCTACGAGGCTAGGATGATGTAAAATAAGTCCACAAATGTGTGTTTGTTTATTCAGCCTTGGATTGTAAATATTGAATTACAGCTTCAACTCTAAAAGATTAAGCTGTGTTCATCAGACACTTTGACATTTCATTGATTTTCTATCTTTAGGGAATGAATGCATACATCCAACTGTTAAATGTTTCAGTTCTTTTTACACAAGTTGCTGTTTTCTAATGAGGAGCTTAACGGCAAAATTCACAACAGGTGTTTTTTTCCTGCTCTCGAAGGAGTAAGACGCTTCTCCCTTCTCTCCTGCCCTTCCTTATTTTTCCCTGCTTTGCTGCTTAGAGCCTTCTCTACATTTTTCATCTGAAACCAGAAATTATGTATATTTTTATTTTTATGGATTTGGTTAGCTGGTCTCTCAATAAATTTTTTGGAACAAAGTTAATTTTTCTGCTTCCATGGGAGGACATGTTGAGGGTGGGACCTCTGTTCTTCTCTGTTCTGGATATATGTCTGGACTCTGATCACTGGATTCTACAGTTTGGCTGGGTGGTCTCCTGGTGTTCTACAAAACAGCGTCGGTAGCTTTGCACTTTCTGGCTGACTGACCAACTGGATGGACGGCTGTATTCTATCAGCACTCGGACATTGGGCCTTGAGCGAGCTCAGCTCGGTCTGCAAGCAGTTCTACGTAGAAATACTATTTAGGTCTGAATGACAGGCTTTTATTATTAGCCTGCTATAAATACAATCATGATTAAAATAGTCATTTGAACAAAAGATTACTTTGTCATTAAATCATTACTGGTCTCAGGAAAACTTAGCTTATTAAGAGTTTGAAATCTTGACCACCCTTGATAACATTCACAAGAAGCTAGCTGTGAACTATATGTCACAAAATTAATTGTTTTTCTTAAATAAAAGCTGCATTCTCAACATGTCTAACAGCTCAGATGATAGCTACCTTAATAATCTTTGTTACAAACCAAGCTGTTTGTAAATCTGTCAAGATTTCAGCGAGTAAAGCGTATTTTTGTTTGTGTAAATCACTCACCTCCATACAGTTTCCACAGCTACAGCTAGTGCTAATGTCTGTATCAAGAAGGACGCCGTGTGACGCGGGAGACTCTGCCTCAGCTTATCTAGCCTTTATACGAGTTCTATAACGGTTGAAATCAGGTAAAAACACAAGTGTTAAATAAAGTGATCTGTGACGAAWTGAATGCCATACAATACCAGAATTCTGGAGTGAGGGTTTTATTCAGCCACGAGCTGGCATGTCAAAACCACACACTGAAGTCATAACAGGAAGTGNTGATGTTTTTTTTATGTTAAATAAAGATTAAAATAAAAATAAAAATAAAACTTGAGTTACGGCCATCCTAGTAGGCCCTGGCACTGTCTTTATTATATTTTGCATGTTTACTTGTAGATGAAGAACACTGTATTTCACCATTTTTTGACATGAATGTTTCAAACACGTCATCTTTTATTTCACCCATGATCGAAGAGAAGATCCAGCCTTTCCAGGGTTATTAACTTTTTATTTCTGCTGCTCATCTTTTCAGTTGTATTTGCAGTGTGGAATGTTTTAGGTCTCCCTTGCAGAGTCTACATGTTAATATAAAACTATAAACACTTCCTAGTCTACTACTTGTGATTAATACAGTTGTATAAAACAGGCACAAGCACTGTTCCAATTTCACAAAGTTTTATTTGCCTATATATACCGTATTCACAATATTTATTAAATACAAATAAACCCTTTGTTTTTAAGACAGGCAATTATGAGAATTTTGTCAGCTCTTCCATTAAAGTACAGTTATTTAGTTTACCACCTGAAGATGTTGCTCTTCTGACTGAGTAAATCACTTCCTAGAAGAGTGTCAAAGTGGTTCACAGTTTCACGAGGCTTTAGTTTTACCATCATCACAGTTTGAAGTATTATTAACTCTATAATTTAAATAAATCCTCATTATGGCTCAGCTGCCAGCACGGGTCGCATTTGAAACCTAACAACTGCCTTTTTATCATTTTAATCGCGGGCACATCACAACTCGTGACCCGTTCATTAAACGTGATGGGCACTGTTTTCAACCAATCAGAACGCCACATTGATCATTTGTCCACCAATCYCGGAGCCGCGTTATGTAGGAGTCGAGTAGACGCGGACATTACCGAGGTGTCTTTCCGTTTTATACGCTGGGAGGTGTTTGCTCGCTCAGTTGCATCGAAAACAATCCTGAAGTGAATTTTATTTTTGTTTCTATTTTCTCTCTCTCTCTCCAGAGGACAGAATGAAAGAAGTCGGGGTTCTGTGCGTTCTTGGGGCGCTGCTCGTAGCTCAGTGCGCCTCCGTCATCAGGTCTGTTTATCACCTGAGAAGTGAAGATGAGGACTGAAACAGGAAGCATACGCTTACACCTTAAACTAATACAGTTTTTAATTTTATTTTATGTCATTTTAGAGTCCCTCTTCATAAAACCAGGAGCCTGCGCCGCCTGATGAACGACAACGGGAGGTCTCTGGAGGAGCTTCGAGCTTTAGCTCAGACCTCAGAGGCTGCAGKCAGCGCTCCTTCCTCCGGACTGCCGGTGGAGAGGCTCACCAACTTCATGGATGTATGTGCAAACTGTAAAAACACTCTTCATCTCAGCTTGACTACATGCAGACTGTGTAGTCAAGAGGTCAAATACTTTYGTCCAGTTTTGCAGATATAGACTGAAGTTCTCTAAAATCACTTCAAAGTTTGGAAACGTTTACAGAATATGTGAATGTTGAGAATGTTTGGCTCCATCTGTTGGCCAGTCTGCAACACTGCAGGAAACAAAATGTCATGAAACAGTAATGTACTCTTACAACAAAAGTAGTTTTCCCTTAAATACATAAATACTAATGATAATATCATTTGCTTTTCCTGTGAAAATGCAGTGTGAATGCAGAAAGTTTTTTTTGCTGAATAGTTTTAAAAAGTAGTTGAAATCGCTGAAATTAACCTGAAAAAACTTGCTTAATTAGGCAGTAAGAAGCTGAAATTATAACATACAAGAAAAATTAACTGAAGAGCTCAAATTTGCTAAAAGGTAACCATAGAAAACAGCTGAAATTAGCAAAAAGCAACTGAAAAAAACTTTAAAAAGCTGAAAGAAGCCCAAAGATGTGAAATTGGCAGAAGAATAGCAGAAAAGGCCAGAATGTTAGCTTAAAAAAGGCTAAAAATTAGCCAAATAGAAGCTGAAATTAGCAAAAAGAAGTTAAATAAAGCAGAACCAGAACAAAATGTAAGCAGTAAAGCCAAATGAACACTGAAATAGTATAAAATTGTGGAAAGAGATACATGCTTTATAAGCATTCACACAGTTACAYTGTGTCAAAATATTCTAACAGGTGTGGAGCAGATCATTTTTTAAAGTCCTCATAACATTAATATGAACCTGGAGCTCATTGTTGATAGTTATTTTTAAGTTGAATTAAATCAGGCCTAAAAGTTTTTAATTGCTTATATTGAAGTAAGAGTTGGCATTTAGCTATACTTTGTTGAAAACAACTCAGAGCTGAAATAATAGACATGTAAACTTGTATACACAAACACTTTAATCTCTTTTCCTCCATTTTTGTCACAAAGTTGCGACAATGATGSTGCGTTCACACCGAACGCGATTTCAGCGTCAAAATCGCAGCCAACGCTGAAGTTTGAAGCTCGTGCACTTTGAGGTCAGACGCAGGACAGTTGTTGAAGCGCCGCACGGCGACAGCCTCCCCGCCCCTCCCTCCTCTGTCGGGCTCCGTTTAATGTCGGACGAGGAAGTGGCTTTGCTTTATTTACAAAGAGCAAGAGCGTGTGACGTTCATT